ATTAGTTGAGACTGTGGCTGGCCTCCCGTCATACATAACGAGAAGAGTTGCGAAAAAAGAAACAAAGGCCAAAACTTGCTTACTTACAGGTCATTTCCGGAGAAAATAATTGTTTAGACCGTTTGAAAAGAGAGCAAACAAACAAAATGGCGAGTTGCTCCAAAGAAAAAAACAGGAGCGGCAACTAAGCACTTGCGAATCCAAACGGCGGACTGCACAGCGCTGCAGTCACAAAGACCATTACTATTATTGTTATTATTATTATCATCGTCATTATTATTATTATTATTAAAATTCTACGAGAATCCAGTTTCTCTAATTAACAAACTACAGGCATTATCATACCAAACCACGTCCGATATAGGTCCGCGTTTTCCACTTCTCAAATCGTTTTCATCCCCAAAACAATAAACAACATCACTACTCTACCAACACATCCCTGAAACACATGAATAACTTCACATACACCTAATACGACGTCCAATTATACTTACTTACAGCGTCCTGTTTGTAGAGTTTGTATGCCCTATGCGAGTTTGTGTTTTGGTTTTGTATGCGAGTTTAATTATAAACCTGATAGGGAACATTAAGAAATATTTTTCTTATTTGATTGGTTTCATTTGTTATTTTTATAGATATTATTGAGCGAGAGATATATGTTTTGACCAAATTTGGGCATAACCATGTGCTAGGTATAATTTGTTGTATAAGACGCCATCTTAATTATCAAAACATGTGTTTAACAGCCTCCCGACTCTAAGCAACATAATCTAGAGCTCAGAATAGGTGACAAAATATTTGAAGCTGAGCTGGTTTTAATGAAAGTGTTAGAGAACTAAAGCAGTTGAAGTTTTGTGCTTGAAATCTGCGTGTTAGAACACTACTTATCTTGCTGTACGTTTTATTGGTTTACGAATAATAATTATAATATAACAAACGTAAAGCGCGCGCTCTGATTGGTCAATTACCCATTTGCTGTTTGCCTGTGAGTGAATGGTGACGAAAGCTAGCTGGCGCTCAAAGCCGTACACGCCACTTTCTAAGGAGTTTGACCAATGGTCGCAGGTCGCGGGTTGTATGTCGCGGGTGCGGGTAAGATGTCGCAGCCCTGGCGGGTGCGGGTTGAAGGTCGCCGGTGGAAAAAATTATTTTACGTGAAATTCAAGTTAGAGTCGAGGTAACTAAGTAAAGATCTTGAATATCGGTTGTCTGACTTACGACAAAAAGCTTTGAAAGGGTATAGTTTAAGTTATTCGTCACGTTGTTATTCATGCTCCAGGACCAATCAAGTCGCAGATTAGTCAAAGTTTCGACAGGTGCATTCATGCGCAAAAACGTCTGCAGCATCTTCAAGTTTGTTTACCGACAACTGGAACGTCGTGTTTTGAACTATTTGAGTTCTTTTAATTCTGCCACAACATAAAATACAGCCACTATCAAGATTCTATTGTAGTTACTTATTTGTGGTTTTCATGAGGAAAGCGTCGCATAGTGGCCGGATTAGTATTAGTTGGCGGCGTTTTGGAAAGTTCATGCAGGCTTTTACTAACCTAATAGAGAGCTTTAGCAGCAGACGTTCTTGAGGTCACGAACACCGACAGGAAATCATGCACGCTAGTGTGAATATACTGCGCATGTGTTTACGTCCGTGAGGTCAGGTCACCGACGCCAGAACACCACTTTCGAAGTACAAGTACAGGCAACCCAGGCTCACTGTTTTTATCACGTACGGGTTTCATAACATGAGTAAATGTAATCTTTGCTTTTTGCGCCACAAACGCCGTACTCGATCCAGAGCATTAGTCATTTTTAGTCATTCATCTCCAACTCTAACTTGAATTTCACGCAAAATCATTTTTCCCACCCGCGACTTTCGATCCGCACCCGTGACATACAACCCGCGACCCGCGACCCGCGACCCGCGACCCGCGACCCAGGACCATTAGTCAAACTCCTTTCTACGCGACTGTGTTTTTTTTTTACCTCATGGTTTGCAAAGATTTTTCTCTTAATACTTACCGTAAACGATAACATAAAATTGAGACGGAGAACTAGTTATTCAGCAAAAACATTTTTCTCATACTAAGAAAAGAATGATTTGCACATGCTTTACCGCGAGTATATTACAGCACTCACGTCATTGACCCTGGCTTTCTGTGAGCAAAATTAAAAGTTGTTCTCTTTTGATTATATAATGTTATAAGACAAATGGTAAATGGCTCAGCTTGTACTACCAAGTTATAGTTGCAATTGGAAGGATTGCTAAGGGCTCAAGAAGCTAGAGTCGCACTAGGCTATCGCCTCGAGCGACTTTTACGCTTCTTCGTTCTTAGCAACCTCCTGAGTGCAACTATAACTCAATAGTACACGCTAAGACGTTTACCATTTGTTAAGGTTGTAGGCGCTCAGACATTTGGAAAAGGGGCAAAGCAAAAAGGGGACTAAAGAACGAAGAAGAGAGGAGTTTCTTCGTTGTTTCTTTCGCTTTTAGTGGTCCGTTCGTTTTTCCTCGATGCCTTAAGAGTGAGTCCATGGGTGCACCAGGCAGGTGTGCTACATGCTATCTCTCCGATTTCAATGAAACTTGGCCAGTTTAAAGGGTCTACCTCAAAACTCAAAATGACCAACTGGTTCACAGTTTGGATCTTTATGGTGGGAGATAGCCCACCCAACTGGTTTAATTAGATTTTATACCAATAAAAGTGCATTAATAACAGGCAAAAGTAGAAAGCTCTCAGGACAACTGCATTTAACCTTTGACTATGAGGGTTGCATATGTGTTGATAAATCTTTGACCAATGCAAGGATGTAAGTTTTAGTCAATTTGATTGACAGTTTGTCAATCACCGGCCTTCAATATGGGACCACCTTTTTAGCCATTCAAATACTTGCTGATTTTGAGATCAAATATCTCTCCTTGCCAGAAAGCTATGACAATAATTTTGCTATTCCCTGTTTACCAACCCTTTGGTCTTTAATAAACATAAAAAAACATTTCTGGGCTCTGCCATTTTTGGGCGTCAGATGCCACTTGAAAACTGCCCCTAAATCAAGCCTATTTCCACTTCACCTGTCCAATAATTCAACAATTAACGGCCGCTGAAGTTACTAAACCGACACTTTCCAGCCCGTTATACAAGAATAATAATTGAGGAGTTTAATGCATGCTTAAAAAGTTCGAGATTTTGCAAGAAAATCAAAGATTTCACACTGATTAGTGATGTATGTCACCAAAATATCGAAGGCAAAATCGTAATGTTTGTGACCTCGTTTTGATTTTCTCACAAAATCAGAGATTATTCTTCTTTGAAGTTAAACTATACAAAAGCCTTTCATTCAACAAGTGTTATGGTCTCTACTGTGTCAAAACAAAGCTGTTTTAAGGGAGATTTGAAGGCCACATGGTGCGCGGTTGTTGAAAAGCTTTTAATCACGCCAGTATATGCCAGTCATAAAAGCAACGTCAACTCGTACATCTAAAAACAGCATTCAATGATGAAAAATTCTTTCCCCTAGCGATGAAGAAATTACGCCCTTAAAAAGCTCATTAAGTTTAGGCTACAACCTCAGAAAAAGAATAGTATTACAAAGAAGAATAGTGTTAGTTTTACTAACCGCAGTTGACCTATGCAAAACTATAATGTATGCTGCGTGACCAGGCAATATTTCTTTACAATCCACTTCTTTGCCTCCCAAAGGCTTTCAGAAGATGCTGCTTGTATCTATAACTATATTTATCTCCTCTTATCTTCATTTCTTTTTTTTCAAATACAAGTTGTTCGAAGATCTCTGTCACTCTCAATCAAGATGATTTACAACCAAGTATTACGTGACAAAAAGAAAGAGCCCGTACTGTTTTGATCAGCAAATTTCCCGCGCCTTCCCCGGCAATCTATGTAAATCTTTTAAGACAATTTTCGGTTGTCCAAACTGGAAGGGAGAATGAATAAAAATAAAAAAAAAAAAGCATAACTAAAAAAAATAGATATATACATTTTTGTTTTTGTCTCCCTAAGACCAAAACTGAGAAACACTAGCCTGTATACAGACACCACCCCCTCCCCTCCACTCACTGAATCACGTGATCTTTTGTTACTAAATATTCCGTGTTTACTTCCTGTTTAAAAGCCACGACATTTATTGTCGATTATTCGTTTAAAAAGGCGTTTATTGTCATTACAATGATAAAAACAACATATAACATTTACAGAGACATCCTAGATAGATAGATAGATAGATAGATAGATAGATAGATGGATAGATGGATAGATGGATAGATGGATAGGTGGATAGATGGATAGATGGATAGATAGATAGATATTCTGTTTATTTCACCCACTTGCAGCAGTAACTGAATTGTTGGGGAAGGTCATTGTCACATACAATAAACCATTTATATACATTCACTGAAATTTATAAGTTACAAAGTCATTAATTCTTCTGGTATGACCATGTCGACGTCTTGGGAATGAGACTCAATAGCTGCAGGAGAGGGGATGATGATCCTAAATAAAGTACACGGTCTATTAAAAAAACTATAGTCAACTAATAAAAATACTGTCCACTAAAACTACCCTAAAAAAAACATACTAAAGCTAGATTTAAAATGTCCTCATTCCTGGCGGAAACACTAGAATCATCTAAAAAGTCATCATTCTTGTGAAAAGGGGTTCTTGACCCTCGTCAACATGTGTGGAGAGACTTTAAAATTTCAAAAGATATGCATGTTTCAAGCTAAGATATGGCACTGACGTACCACTCGCCCTTGTTTCTGGAAAGTTTGTCCGCTAGGTTGCTCAGGAAAAGTTTGCATTTTGTCCCCATTCCCATTTCTTTTTGTACCAAAAACCACAAAGAGTGGGGGGGGTGGGGATAAAGATCCCATTTCCACGGCCATAAACCTTTGTCGGTACTTCCTTTTCTTCTCTTTGCTCCAGGAAGATTGATTCCTTGGATTTGTTCTGGTTACACGTTGACTTCAGATGCATAACATCGAAGAATTATGTTTCTCCTCGCGACCAGAAACTTCCTGTCTTTATGTCCAGTCTAGCCTCAGGACTTGTGACGGCGGAGCTTAGGTTGAATACGTCAATGTCCATCCGTAGGAGGTGGGGCTCTACCTCGACACCCTTGCAGACTTTGCTGAGAAGAGATGTGAGAAGGTTCTGGAAGCCATCATGTCTTTGTGAAACAAAACCCTTCTTCTTACACCACAGGTCCTGCTCTTCAAGGGCAACGGAGTTGAGCCACGCGCTTGCACCCTTATCTCTGGCCCGCAGTGTTGACCTTAGAAAGTATAGCTGCTACACGGTGCTGTTATTAACTTTGAGGCAACGTATTGCCGTGAGGCTTCAGCTTTCAGGTCTGGTATACCCAGACCCCCTTGTGAATAGGTCTTGCAACTCATCAGGGAGCGGTTCCGTCTGACCAAAATGAACTGGAAGGAAAATACCGTTGATCGCTTCATCAGTTGGTTCCACCTAGTCTTCAAATAAGTCAATTTTATGCATGAAATATGCAAATTTCGATTAGTAGCCCTTTGCGTAGGCGGCATGGGGTTGACTCTTTACGATCTCAGCCAGCAACTCGATGCTTTCCCTCCATCCCTGAACTTTTCCAATACATTATTGGCCTTTGTACTCCTGGGATCCCATGACTGCTCCTAGGTGTCACTGACCTTCCGTTGTTATTCTGACCCCCTCCCCAATCACCAATTCGGCCTCATCTGCTAAATCATGTGTCTTTACTACCCGAGCTTTACTATCAGCTATCTTTTGGAGCCATTTCTTTCCTTCTTGACAAAGAAGCTTGTACCAGTTGCATAACAGTTCTGTTGGGCCGCCTCACGCCGAGTCATCAGCCAGCCATACTTGCTTAACTTCAGGTATACGCGCTCTTAGGCTCTGAATCAAGATGGATGTGTCCATCGCATACCACCTAGCGCTAGTGGGTCACCCTGTGTTGTCCCTTCCTGGAATAAGATCTCTTCCCCTCCACAGGTGAAGAATCTCTAGGAACTTCTGTACGTGTTGGTGATATGGACATTTCAGGGCAAGTAATTTGGATATTGCAGTCAACCAACAGGATTCCGTCTGTACCATCATCATCAAACATCTGGGCCATGGCGTGTATAGATATGGCGGCCTCGGTACCCACACTGTGACCATCGCAAACCTGCAGGGGACCAGCTGCCAGCTTGATCTCTTGATATGGTCTTGCCAATTATTTGTCTCAAAACCTCTCTGACTCCTATTGGTCAAATTCCCGGGTTCTTATCAAGTGGAATAAGCGTACAGGAAGGGTAGGTTTCCAACATAGAAGGGTGCTAACTTGATTTCAGCAGATTTCTGGTCAACGCAGCTATTTCTTTTAGGCTTATCTTTATTCATTCTCTCTTCCTGTTTAGACAACCGAAAATTGTTTAGAATATATGTACATTGCCGGAGAAGGCGCGGGAAATTCGCTGACCAAAACATTGCAGGCTCTTTCTTTTTGTCACGTAATACTTGGTCGTAAATAATCTTGATCGAGAGTGACAGAGATCTTCGAAAAACTTGTATTTGTAAAAAAAATGAGGATAGAAGGAGATAAATATAGTTATAGAGATAAGCAGGACCTTCCGAAAACCTTTGGAAAGAAGTGGGTTCTAAACAAATATTGTCTGGTCACGCAGCACACATAATACTTCTGAGTAGATCGGCGGCAGTAAGTAAAACTAACACTATTCTTTTTCTGAGGTTCTAGCCTCAACTTAACGAACGTTTTAGGCGTAATTTCCTTATCGCTATAAGGAAGAATTTCTCATCATTGGATGTTGTTTTTAAATGTGCGAGTTGACAATGTTTTGTGACTGGCACTATACTGGCGTGATTCAAAGCTTGACAAAAACCGCGCACCATGTGGCCTTGAAATCTCCCCAGGAAATTAAAAACAGCTTGGTCTTGTCACAGTAAAGACCATAACACTTGTTGAATGAAGGACTCATGTATAGTTGAACTTCTATGAAAAATAGCATCTGATTTTGCGAGAAAATCAAAACGAGGTCACAAACATTACGATTTTGCCTTCGATATTTTGGTGACACATCACTAATCCGTGTGAAATTTTTAATTTTCTTGCAAAATCTCGAACGTTTTAAGCATGCATTAAACTCCTCAATTATTATTCTTGTACAACGGGCTGGAAAGTGTCGGTTTAGTAACTTCAGCGGCCGTTAATTGTTGAATTATTGGACAGGTGAAGTGGAAATAAGCTTGATTTAGGGGCAGTTTTCAAGTGGCATCTGACGCCCAAAAATGGCAGAGCCCAGAAATGTCTATTTTATGTTTATTAAAGACCAAAGGGTTGGTAAACAGGGAATAGCAAAGTTATTGTCATAGCTTTCTGGCAAGGAGAGATATTTGATCTCAAAATCAGCAAGTATTTGAATGGCTAAAAAGGTGGTCCCATATTGAAGGCCGGTGATTGACAAACTGTCAATCAAATTGACTAAAACTTACATCCTTGCATTGGTCAAAGATTTATCAACACATATACAACCCTCATAGTCAAAGGTTAAAAGCAGTTGTCCTGAGAGCTTTCTACTTTTGCCTGTTATTAATGCACTTTTATTGGTATAAAATCTAATTAAACCAGTTGGGTGGGCTATCTCCCACCATAAAGATCCAAACTGTGAACCAGTTTGTCATTTTGAGTTTTGAGGTAGACCCTTTAAACTGGCCAAGTTTCATTGAAATCGGAGAGATAGCATGTAGCACACCTGCCTGGTGCACCCATGGACTCACTCTTAATAATCTGGAGAACTAAAGACAAGCTCTGTTTTAGGTACACTGTGGTTACGAAAGAAGATTAATAGCCTTTGCAAACCGACCTGTTAAATTCATCTTTTTAGCAATAGTAGTTGATAAATTATAATGATTACACGGGGATAAGTGTCATCGTTATAATTCTGGGCCGTTTCTAATGTGGCTATAACTAACACAGTGCTTCATGATTACCTTTGCCTTTTGTGTACTGGCTATTGAGTTTTTAAATAATAATCAGAATTAACTAAAACAGCATTTCTTCCATTTTGCGAAGATTTTCTAGAGTTGATGACTGGAGCCAGAAGCATTCTAGAGTTGTCAATTGGCTAGAACTGGTAACAGCAATCAAGGAAAGTAAAGAACTGTCCAGTAAGTACAATTTAGAACCTCGCTGTAGGATGCAAATATTGTTTCTTAGTCCTAGAGATCGGTTAACACTAACTTTGGGCACAAAACGTTTTTATTTGCGCTGCTGATTAAGGGCGAATGCACAGAAATATCGAGCAAAGGGTGGCCACCGTAGGAAAATTAACCTATGTTCATTTCTGGTCTACAAAGAGCTATTAACAATTATTATTAAGGTTTCAAAATTATTTTCTGAAAATGCGGCTGCGTTTGGGAAATTTTTGAGAAAATCGATTTCGCGCCCTTGCGGGCAAAAAAATTGGAAAATAATTAACAAAATACCATATTCCCGAAAACCTATTCAGAAAAGTAAATCAAATGAAATACTAAAAAGGGCGCTGTAGTTGACAGCTAACTGGTCGGTTTCGTTTCATTTTACAGCCAATTTACCCGAACTGGGATTGAGTCCGAATCATAAGATGAGTGAAACTGACATAAAAAATTATAAGCTTCCCTCCAGCGTTGGTGTTAAATGGAAAGATCTTGCACGAGCCCTTGGGTTCTTTGAACAACATATTGACGTAATTGAAGAGGAAAAATGCCACTGTGTAAAGGACTGCTGTATTAAGGTTCTGGTGCTATGGATGAATCGGGAGGGAGATAACGCTACTGCTGCGAGATTAGCTGATGCTTTAAGGACTATAGGACTTAAAAACCTGGCTGACATTTTGATATACCCAATAGATCCAAGCCAGGTAAGTATGCTGCTAAATCAACTTGGTCGATGTGTCATTCGACTACAACTACAGCAATGCTTCAGGGTTTGTTTTTTTTATTGTTGTTTACTGGGATAACAACATGTGAACCTAAACGGTAAACTCGAAATAAATTCTAAAGGTTGTAGTAAAAAACGATAACTGATATATGTACACCGTTCGTACAATTCTAGAGATAAATGAGTTGTTTTCCTTTGTCATACCACTTTTATTAGATGATATAACAAAGCTCCACTTTCTCCAAAGTTAAGAACCATTATATATTTACTCCCCCCAAAAAGGAAAAATTATTCCTTAGAACAAATACAACCTTTTTCGGGCCAGAAATCAGGTACGGTTTGTTATAAATCGACCTTCTTTTGACAAAAAGGATATTTTGTAGTGTTAGATTTTTATGCACTAAAGTTCTGCGACAACTGCACTTGACAATTGCATCTCATTGGCTATAAAAAAAAAATGAGTATGTCGTTAGCTATGCCGATATACAATTTCTTTATTTTCTATATCAACGCATTTTAGAAGGAGGTTCGTGAGATGAAAAGTCAGTTGATCAGCTTGGAAGCAAAGGCAGATAGTATATGAAGACATCATAGTAGTGCTTAAAAAAGGATTACTTGTTTTTGGTACGCTAAACTTTTCTTCTTTTGATAAAATAGGGTTCCACAATGAGCACCAGGATTAAAGAACTAGAAGAGGAGGTATGTTTCTACAATGTCAAACTTTTCAGGTTAATCAAGAACCAAGCACTTCATGATAGTATTTATAATATTGTCTGTTCTGGACCAATTCTAAAATACTATTTTCCGTAATTTTCCTGTTTTTTTTTCCGCCATCCAATTTTTAAATTTAGTGTTTTAGTTTTCTGTTTATTTCTGCCATCCGTCCACCGTCATTTACCAAATTTTTAATTTTAGAAAAATGTTTTGTTTTGCATATCATTTTTGACCCATTTTAGGTCACTAATACCCAACTGAGGTAAATTATCCTGTTACAGCAAGTCAAAATCTTAGCATTTTCTGAAAAATAACAAGTACGCATTTCTAACGGTAGTTAACAGCAGAATTTTACAGGTATTTAGTACATCTAATATTTTAAAAAAATTATGCCCTCGGCCTTTCTGCAAAACAATTGCAGAAATTTTAGAGATAGAGAAACAAAGAAAAAAAATAAGAAAGAAAATTTAAGAAACCAAAACCAAACCTAAAACATTTGATGATTGTTTTTAAGAGTGTATCAAGAACAAAAAGATTCCAAAAGATACTCCAAGTTACTTAAAAAAAGCTCTTGAAAGAGCAGTGAAGGAGGATGATGTTGGAATTAAACATGAAACGTCAGCTCTTGAGAATTTTTTAGATAAATATGTAATTGAAGGAAAACCAAGAGTTATACCATTTGATTACTTTAAAGATATATCTTCTCAGTTAAAAGATTTTATGAGAAATCATAGAAATATAAAAACTCTAATGATTATGATAGTTAATATGGAGAAAATGGTAGTTGATAAAAAAGTTTATTACATTCAGGACAAAACTTACGCAAAAAGTCTTAAAAAGACTGATGTTAAGAAATTACCTTTTAAAATGTTATACGAAATACTAAGCAAGATTTCAGCTTTTTCAAAAAAATGGTTCAGGCTGGTGTTTAAAAGAAGTTGTTGGATTAGAATTATACACGGTTGAATAAAAACCAATGAAAGGATCATCATGTATTCCACTTCCAGATAGTATAATGAGAAAGATTAAGCAATTATTAACATTGAAAACAAGAATGACCAAAAGTGTTTTATGTGGTCAATATTGAGATATCTTCACCCAGCTTAACATCATTCTTTTAGATTAACTGGTCTAAAAAAATATGAAAATGACCTTAATTTTAAAGGTATTGATTTTCCAGTAAAAGTAAAGGGCATCAAACAGTTTGAAAAACAAAATCCAAATATTCCAGGAATTAATGTATTTTCGATTAATGATCAATACAAAATTTACCGTCTAAGATTAAATGTAAAAGAATGTCAGAGAGAATACAATAGATTTGTTTCTCTATTAAAAAGATTGAAAATATCATTATTCTCTTATTAACAATTTTAGTCGTCTCGTAAGTTCACAAGTAAGCAAAAATACATCAGTTCAAAAGTTTTATTGTAAAAAAATGTTTATCTCATTGTACAAAAAAAAGAATTACTTGATAAACATATCAC